TGCGGACGTCGGAATTTCGATCGCTCTGATCGAATGGCTCAGGTGGGCGCGGCTTGGAGCCTCGAGAAAATGCTGCGACTGCTACGTCGTCGCAGTTGTCGTTTCATGCTGCGTACCGCCGAATTGAGTCACTCACTCGAACTCGTTTCGCCAAGCTTCACGGTCGGCTGGCATCTCTTCGTGTAGGGCAACAATGCGCGCGAAGAGCTGTTGGGTAACCTCGGCATTGTCGAAGTTTGCCATTCTATTCAAAACACGCATGAAGGGGTTGATTCACAAAATGCAGAGCTGGTGGTTATCAGAATCGGCGCCGAATTAGTCGCCCCCGGCGGTTTTTCGAGGCAGGTTTTCCCGTTGCTGCTGCTTAGCTGAGCGCGGCCGAGTGAGAAAAGCTCTGATTACCAAGTGTTATAGGATCGAATGCGTCGAGGAAAAGTTGCACAATGAATTGATACAAGGCGCTTTTATACTTCCAAGGTACATAGGGTAACCAAGTTTATCCTATCCAAAGCGAATAGAGCCTTTAGAAATAGAATCACCCTGCGTGTAGCCACGCGAGGCCATTGGCTTTGAGGGATTACGCTAGATATTGTGCGCCAGTAGATCCCGAGCCTGGTCAGTGATATAATTATAATAATAGGATAAACCAAAGGATAAAGGAAAATGAGGAATAGGAGACCAAATGAGATGAGATAAAGATAAAAGGAATCACGATAAAAAGAAGAATGAGATAGAGGAGAAAGATGGAAATGAGAAAGAAGTGTAACGGGGTCGTACTCTCACTTCTGCTCCTCTCTCTGACTCTGCTTGCACTGGTCATCTTGTCGTCTCGTGCTTATTGGCGTCACTTGTCACTGACCCTACCCCTCATCATGAGGGTGTCTCTGCCCTAGTTTGCGGCTGTCACTGACTTTGCCGCGAGTCACCACCTTGACTACGCCTCCGCTCTGGTCTCTGACCCTGCCCGTTCTTTGTCCGTCGGTGATGCACTTGCTCTTGGGAGGTGACCTTCTGGAGGATTGGCAGTACGAGCTAGATTTCCTTGCGGCTACTGTACCTTATTTATGCGCCATACTTATGTCCCCTGATGGTGACTCTGACGCCCCGGAAATCTCTATCCCGCGCTCCTATGCTGAGTCAGTCTCGGGTGCCCTGGTCGCCCAGTGGATACAAGCGATGGAGGCATAGATGGCATCTTATAGGTCCACTGCACTTACGTCGACGCAGTTCCTCCACCTGGAGCGAACATAGTCAATGGCATGTGGATCTATAAGGTGAAGCGTCCGCCTGGAGAGTCGCGTGTGTTCAAGGCGCGCTATGTGGCTAGAGGTTTCAGTCAGTGAGAGCGTGTCGAAATCTTCCAGACCTTCTCCTCTACCCCGAAGATGACTACTCTTTGGATGCTCCTCCACATAGCCGTACAGCGTGACTACGAGCTCCACTCCCTAGAATTCTCAACTGCCTTCTTGCAGGAGGACAATCTTTATGAGTAGGTCTACTTGCAGCGCCCACTAGGCTTCACCGGGTCCTTCCCACCTAGGACTCTGTGGGGTCTGTGCCGCCCTGTCTACAGTCTGTGTTACGTGCCTTGTGAGTAGCATGACACAATCAGATCCTCCAGCGGTTCGGCCCTCAATTCTCTTCGGCACAACCCACCCCTCTGCTTGTGGACCACAAGCTCCCATGATCTTGTTCCTGCTAAGCAGCTCGAGCGCAGTGGTGCATACGCAGAGCTGGTGGGGTTCCTCATATTTACCTGATGACGTGCACTTGACCAGATCTAGCCTACCCTCTCAGTATCCTTGCTCGCTTTGTTGCGACTAGCAGACATTGACCACTACACTACTCGGCTGCGATGAGGGTGTTGCGATATCTGACATGTACATCATGACTGTGGCTTGTGCGGGGAGGACGGGAGTCAGTGGTCCTCACTGGACACATAGACGCATCGTGGGCTGACGACCTGGAGACACTCACGTCTTCACAGGGCTTCTACTTGGTGCATATGCAGTCTCGTGGAGGTCCACTAGGTTGTCGTCTGTAGCACAGTCCAGTTGTGAGGTAGAGATCTGCGCTGGGGCCATGGCTGCTCTGGAGCTCCGCTGGCTGGCGTTCTTGCTCACCGACTTAGGTGAGCGGCCTAGGTCTGCCCCGGTCCTGTTTGCTGATAACAGGGCCCTGATTCTCGTATGTCAGGAGGCCAAACTTGAGGGCAAGGCGAAGCACATCCATTTGCGGTACTTCCTGCTCCATGAGTTGCAGCAGCGCGGTCAGGCTCGTGTAGTACAGTTTGCCTCAGAGCCAACACTACTGATATCTTCACCAAGGCACTGTCGCCTCGTGACCATCAGCGGTTTTGTACTCACCTAGGTCTAGTCTCAGTACACTCTCATCTCCTTGTATCCTGATGTATGCGATACCGACTTGTACCGTATCCACTCGGATAGGCGCCCCCCGGAGGAATGGAACCCTGGGTCCTTTAATCAGCTAATGGGGCTTATGCACATCATTTGATTATAAGCCCCTCGCCCTTTGGAGAGCACTTCGTCGTTTAGGCCCCTAGGAGTGTATGAGAGTGATATTTTTTAATAACGATTGATCACCCAGCTTTTGTCAATTGCGTTTGCCCTCATTCCGCAAAATTCAGCTCTCAGACATCTCGGAGAGCGTTTCCGCAGTATGCGCACACACATGCCTATGACCCCGCGTCAGAAAATCTCGCGTCAGAAAACCTTGGGGCCCTCACATTCGATTTCGCAATTTAATGTGGCGCGGCTCGTGTCGTCGCAAAACTGACGCGAGGTTGAATCCGACGCGAGCTGTAGAAACGGGCCCGAACAAAATCGCTGAATTTGTTAAAATTCCAGCACACGCAGAGCAGGGTTCCCATTGGTTGAGTGAGTTAGCAAGTTCAGCAGCATCTTTGACATCATTTTCTTGGGAATCTTCCACACGACCCTTCGAGCACAATTCGATAGCACACACTCCTACTAAAAAAACATTTATTATAATTACGTAAGATTAGCCCTGGGGCTTATTTTTTAAAATTCGATCATTAGCCCTACCTAGGGCTGACGTTATCAAGGTATTTTACATTGATTTCCTGATTTCACAGGGTATGTTTTTTTGCCAGCCCTTAATTTTCAGGGCGGTCAAAATCTCAACACTTAACCCTTCAGGGTTATAAGTTCTCCAATACTAAGAATTTCAGGGACCATGTTCTAGGGATACTGAGTTTCCAGAGGCATGCTTGTATCCCCAGAGAGCGACCCAGACGCTCTCGACATCACCGTTCCTCGCTCTTACGCTGAGGCGGTGTCGTGGCCTTGGGTAGCCCAGTGGATACAGGCCATGGAGGCTGAGATGGCATCCTACAGATCCACAGGCACTTACGTCGACGCAGTTCCCCCACCTTGGGCGAACGTAGTCGATGGCATGTGGATCTACAAGGTGAAGTGCGCACCTGGAGAGCCGCCGAAGTTCACGGCGTGTTACGTCGCTAGAAGCTTCAGTTAGTGTGAGGGTGTGAACTTCTTCCAGACCTTCTCCCCGACTCCGAAGATGACTACACTTCGGGTCCTTCTTCACATAGCCGCGCAGCGTGACTACGAGTTTCACTCATTCAAATTTTCCACAGCGTTCTTGCAGGGTAGTCTGCACGAGCAGATCTACCTCCGGCGCCCTCTAGGATTCTCTGGGTCCTTCCCACCTGGGACCGAGTGGAGCCTGCCCCGTCCTGTCCACGGCCTTCGTCAGGCACCCCATGAGTGGCACGACACGCTTCGCACCAATCTTGCTGAGCTGCAGTTCCTTCCGTCCTCTGCTGACCCCTCTCTCTTTATTCGTGCGGGTTAGACACCGTTCTACATTCTAGAGTACGTAGACGATCTTATCTTTGCTACTCCTGACAGAGTCACTCTGGCCTCAGTGAAGGCCGAGTTATTTAGGTGACACACCTATACATAATTGGGGGAGCTGAGGCGCTATCTGGGCTTGGAGTTCTCTCGTGACCGTGCCGCTCGCATGGTCACACTTTCCCAGTCCCATATGGCGCAGCAGATCTTCTAGAGGTTCAGTCTCCAGTTCTTCTCAGCACAGCCCACCCCTCTGCGTGTGGATAACAAGCTCTCTGCTCGTGTTCCGAATGAGCCGGTTGAGGCTATACACGGAGCTCGTGGGGTGCGACAGGCAGGCATCGACCAGCCACTGGTCAGCCGCCAAGACGGTACTGCGGTATCTGATGAGTACATCAGGACTGAGGCTTGTGCTAGGAGGACGGGAGCTAGTGGTGCTCACTGGACACACAGACGCGTCGTGGGCTGACGACGTGGAGACGCTCAGGTCGTCTCAGGGCTACTGTTTTAGTCTTGGTGCTGGTGCAGTCTCGTGGAGGTCCACCAGGTCGTCGTCTGTAGCTAAGTCCAGTTGCGAGGCAGAGATCTACGCTGGGGCCATGGCCGCTCAGTAGCTCTGTTGGCTGACGTTCTTGCTCACAGACTTGCTGAGCAGCCTACGTCTGCCCCGGACTTGTTTGCTGACAACAGGGCCATGATCCTCCTGTATCAGGAGGCTCGACTTGAGGGCAGGGCAAAGCACATCCAGCTGCGGTACTTCCTGCTGCGTGTGTTGCAGCAGCGCGGTCAGGCTCGAGTGGTACAGTTGGCCTCAGAGGCCAACACCGCTGATATCTTCACCAAGGCACTTGCGCCTTGTGACCATCAGCGGTTCTGTACTCAGCTTGGTCTCGTCTCCGTAGCAGCACCACTCCTTGTATCCTGAGTCATTATAATACCTGCTTGTACTTGTTCTATACCTGCTTGTACTTGTTCTATACCTGCTTGTCTTGCTACACTTGCTGACTGGCCTTGTGGCCTCTTATCAATGGTCAGACTAGTAGTGCTGCCCTGAGTTGCCTTGTTGCCTTCACCAGAGGTCAGACTAGTAATGCTGCCCTGGTGTACTCTGCCTTATTATGGACTGCCACTATCTAGGCTAGGGGGTGTCAACAAATATATTTATATAGATTAGCTATGTCATATTTATTTGTAGCCTAGCTAGTTTAGTTCTTAGCGAGTACAGCCCTAGTTTTGTATGCCTCTACATTTTCCCTTAGTCACCACTTTTCCCGCTACTCTAACATCTGCCCCCTTCAGGCTCATACAGGGTTCAGCTGTTAGATATACCCAATTGTCTTGACCCTTCTAAACTTTACTCTTGACAGCTAGTACGTACGTACTACAATCGCACCCTAGGTGTGACACGTATCGTGACTGGTTACAAGTCCACCCATTCTGGAACCACCACCCCTCTAGAGCCCACGCAGTACCGCCTACCTCCCACAACCATGCTGTGCCCCTGAATGCCTCCCAGTCCGGCACCTCCCGCGCCCACTCCAAATCTTCGGTCACCTGTGGCCCCTGCACTTCCCATGCCCACTCCTTGGTTCTCACCTCTAACGCCTGTCCTCCGCACGCCCTCCCCATACTCATCACGCCCATCAAATCCTGCACCCCACATGCCTCTGCGCCCCCCCTCACTCTCTGAAAGCACTCCGTTTCTTGCTTGGTTACGATCACGCCCCACCCATCCAGAAATCATCCCATCCCCATCCCCTGTTACTGGCCTTCTATAATTCTCCATATTTACACCACTGCTTCCAGCTACAGTGCCACTTCCAAACCCCACTGCAGTTATGGGCCTGGTGATACCCCTCTCCTCAGCCAACCTCCAGCCCTCCCTCCCTCTGCCTTCTAGAGTCTTCTCTCGCTCCTCCCACCACTGCCGGCCTCTCTGCCACCCGCCTCTCCCCGTCTCATGCATGGAGCTGTGCTTGACCCCTGCTCTGCTGCTGCCTGCTGCTCCGCCTTCTGCTCTGCTGCTGCCTGCTGCTCCGCCTTCTGCTCTGCTGCTGCCTGCTGCTCCGCCTTCTGCTCTGCTGCTGCCTGCTGCTCCGCCTTCTGCTCTGCTGCTGCCTGCTGCTCCGCCTTCTGCTCTGCTGCCTGCTGCTGCTCCTGTTCTACTGTCCATGCCCCTCTGTACTGATCTCTGTTCGAGCACGGATCTGCTGCCAAAACTCCCTCTTTCTTCCTGCCTCCATTCAGCTACTACCTTCTGTCCCCCTCCTTCACCCCCTCTTCCCTCTCCTCTCCTACCGCTTCCCTCCCTTCCGCTTTCCGCTGCTTTCCCCATCAGCTTCCCCCTGACGCCATTTTGGTGCGCGGTGTTACCCTTCGCACCTTCCAACCCCATTTCCTGCTCACCCTCTTCGCTTGTCCTACTACATACCCGTTCCACTCCAGCCTTTCTCAGCCTATCCATCAGCTCCCCTTTCCTCCTCAAACCCTCCTGTCTTCCCGTCCTCCTGCCTTCCTCCCCTCCCCCTTCCGTTCTCCTCTCCTCGCTTCCGTCTCCTCTCCCTTCCTCTCTCTTCTCCTCATTTTCCACCTCTCTCCCTTCCCCTCTAGTCTCCTCGTTTCTCTCTGCTCCCTGTTCATCTGGTCTCGCCTCTCTCAACTCCTCCGTACTCCCCCCTCCACCTGAATCCCCCCCATCTCTCCCCGTCTGCCCCTCCTCGTCATACCCCACCTCTCCCCTCTCTCTCCCATCCCTGCTTTCCTCCACGCCCCTCACCCCACTCACTCTTGCCCCCTCTCCCACCCTCTCCTTTCCCTCCACTCCTCCATCCTCTCCCCCCTCCCCTCTTCTCGTCCAACTTCCCTCCCCTCTCCACTCCTTTCTCCCACCCATCCCCCGCTCCTCTCCTCTCTCCTCTCCTCCCTTCTCTCCTGCCTCCCCTCTCCTCTGCTCCCTCCTCACCACGGACCAGCGCTGCGTGTTTGTCACGCTTTCTTTCAAGCCATCCATCACACCATCCATCACACCATCCATCAGAGGGGGTATGAACTGCCCTCCTTTCCCCCCTAGTCTTCCACCTCCTCTTTCTCCTGCTTCTCCGCCTCCTCCCCGCACTGCCCTTGGCAATCTCATCTCTCTATTCAGCTCTCGTTGGCTTGCCTGGGCGCCTCCTTCTGATCCAATCACCAGAGGAGGTATCTTGGGCTGCTTTGCAGCATCCGGTGTCTGCACGTGTGGCAGTGCTGCTGCTTGTGTCGCTGCTGCTGCTGCTTGTGCCACTGCCGCGATTTCTAGTGCTTCTCTGCCGTCTAACTCCGTGGCATCGTGAAACACCGTTCCCACCAGTGCTACTGCGCCTTCATCTGCACAGCGAGAGGGTGCAGCACAAGATGTGGTGGGGGGATGGGGTGCAATAGCAGGCTTCGAAGGAGGTGCGGTTGCAACAGGACCGCCCTTGGGAGAATCAACACGGAGAGAGGTAGTAGCAGAGGGAGTGGTGGGGGGTTGGGCTGTAGCAGCAAGATCTTCCCCAGCTGGATTTCCCTTAGGGGAGTCTGCATGGATAGAGGCTGTAACAGAGAGTGTGGTGGGGGTGTAGGGCGCAATAGCATGCTTGGGAAGCAGGCAGACGGCACTGGCCGAAAAGATGGGCGGGGGGGCTGTAGCAGGACTGGCATTGGGAGAGTCAGCATGGAGAGAGGTTGTAGCAGAGGGTGTGGGGGGAGTGTGCGGTGAAGCAGCATGCTTGTTGGAAGGCAGGCGGATTGCACGGGAAGGTGTGGTGGCGATGCGGGTTGTTCCAGAGGGAGTGATGGGGGGGTGGGGTGCAATGGGGGGTTGGCATGGCAGGCGGGCAACAGGAGAAGGGCCTGAGGGGGGGAGGCTGCCGTTAGTGCCGGTGGCAATGGCATTAGAGCTGGTAGCGGTCGCATTGGCAATGGTAGCAGTGGCATTGGCACTGGTAGCGGTGGCATTGGCACGGGTAGAGGTGGTATTGGCACTGGTAGCGGTGGCATTAGCGCTGGTAGCAGTGGCATTAGCGCTGGTAGCAGTGGCATTAACCCTGGTCGCAGTGGCATTAGCGCTGGTCGCAGTGGCATTAGCGCTGGTCGCAGTGGCATTAGCGCTGGTCGCAGTGGCATTAAGATTGGTAGCAGTGGCGTTAGCACTGGTTGCAGTGGCGTTAGCGAGGGTCGGAGTGGCATTATCACTGGTAGCAGGAGTGAAGGGTTGTGATTTATGGTGCGAGTGAGGAGGGTGGGGGGAGGAAGAAGATCGCGAGGGCTTAGATCTGAGATGAGGTTTTGGGGTGTGAGGGGATGAAGCAGAGTTGGGAGAGGGGGTAGTGTGGGGAGAGGGGGCAGTGTGGGGAGAGGGGGCAGTGTGGGGAGAGGGGGAAGTGTTGGGAGAGGGGGCAGTGTGGGGAGAGGGGGCAGTGTGGGGAGAGGGGGCAGTGTGGGGAGAGGGGGCAGTTTGGGGAGGGGGGGCAGTGTTAGGTGAGGAGATAGGGTCGGTGTATCGACGCCTTAGCAGTCTGCTGTGAGGGGACTTAGCAGTGTGAGGGGAGGAGACAGCGTGAGGGGAGGAGGCAGCGTGAGGGGAGGAGGCAGCGTGAGGGAGAGGGGACGAAACAGCATGAGGGGAGGAAGCAGTTTGGGGCGAGGAAGCAGTGTGAGGAGAGGACGAACTGTTAGGTGAGGAGATAGGGTCGGTGCAACGACGTCTTAGTAGTCTGCTGTGAGGGGAGTTAGCAGTGTGAGGGGACTTAGCAGCGTGAGGGGAGGAGGCAGTGCGAGGGGAGGAGACACTGCTGGGTGAGGAGATAGAATTGGTGTACTGGCGACTGAGCAGCTGGCTGTGAGGGGACTTGGGAGTCATGGGTGGGCGGGGCGACTGCGGTGTCAAGGGGGGCCCTGGTGCGATGGGTTCCGCGTCTGACTTGACACGGGGTTGCAGTGATTCTGACTTGACACGGGGTTGCAGTGATTCTGACTTGCACGTTGTGGCTTCAGACTCCTGTGCTTCTTGTGCAGGTACCGAAGGGGACTTCAACGAGGATGCCTTTAATGAGGATGAATACAGCGAGGATGACTTTAGCGACGATGCATTTAATGGGGATGACTTAAGCGAGGATGACGGAGAGGCATGCGTCGCTGTGGAGGAGGAAGAAAGAGGAGAAGCGGAGGAAGGACCACCCTCACCTCCAGCAGCATCCACAGCAGCAGCAGAAGCAGAAGCAGAAGCGGAAGCGGGGTCAGCAGAATCAGCAGCAGCCGCAGCAGCAGCAGCAGCAGCAGCAGCAGCAGCAGCAGCAGCAGCAGCAGCAGCATCAACAGCAGAATCAGCAGCGGGGTGCGCAGACAGATCGGAGAGCAGCAGAGGGCCGAGTCTGGCTAGTGCGTGTGTGCGAATAGCCATGAAGGACGGGCCAGGGGCAGAGGAGGGGCAGGTCAGGAGGCGAGCGGATGGCGATCCGATGGTGGGTTCCATGTCAGGGGCAGCTGAGACGGGAGGATCCCACGTTGCTGCAGCCACAGGAGCTGCCGCGTTCACAGCAGATGTGTCAACAGTTGGCAATTCCGAGTCGGTTGTTGAGAGGAAGGGGAGGGCGTGGGATTGTGTGGTAGGAGCAGAGCCAGTGTTGATGGTGCGGTTACAGGAGAGATTGGTGGGAGTAGACGAGAGAGCGTTGGTGGTGGGAGAGGAAGAGACAGTGGAGGCTGTGGGAAGACAGCTGGCAGGTGTGGCAGGGAGTGTGGCTCGGGAGAAAGGGAGACTGGAGGCCGTCCAGCAGGTGGCACTTGCAGCAGAAACCTTGGGTGCAGCAGAGCACTTGGAGCATGAGACACAGCCTTGCATTGGTTGTGATCTCACGGCACGCATTGCCATGACTTGCCCATCCTCCTCTGCTCCATGTGCTGCTGTTGCTACACCATATGGTGGCACATCAATCACACCATATACCGCTGCTGCTGCTGCTGCTGCTGCTGCTCCATGTGTTCTCATCTGCCCTCTATCCCGCCCGGGGGTACTCTTGCTTCTAAACAGGTGCGCCCTGTGACCTGCCGCCTCACCTCCTTCCTCGCCCACTTCCTCATCATCTTCCTCCCCCGAGTCTGCTCCCCACTGCCGCCACTCCCCCCCTGCAGGAATCGCAAAGCATTGGGTCAGTCGCGGGGTCAAGCGCGCTGGTGCTGCCCACAAAACCCTGGGATTCGCCCACTGCCACTGCCTCCGCTTGTCTCCAACAACTGATGCCTCCTCCCTACCACTCTTTGCTATGACCTCCACCTCCTGCTGCTCCTGCTGCTGCTCCTGCTGCTGCGGCTGCTGCTGCGGCGCCCATAATGCATCTTGACTGGCGATCCCACTCCCCCCTAGATATGCTCCTCTCCCTTCCCCCTTCACGACGCTTGCTTTCTGCCCTCCATTGACGCTAATATCGCCATGCCCCATCCCGCCTAATGACTGGTGCCGTCTGCTGAGCACAGCTGGGTGGTTCATCCTCTCGTCCTCACCTCCAACCACCTCCACTCCGCTCCCTGCCCTTGCTCTCCTCGCCCTACCAAGAGCACCCCCCTCCCCTTCCCCCTCTTCCCCTCCCCCCTCTTCCCCTTCCCCCTCTTCCCCTTCCCCCTCTTCCCCCTCTTCCCCAGCCCCGTGCTCCCGCCTGCCTCGTACCTTGCAGTTCTTGGACCTCTGAAAAGCCTCCGCTGCTGCTGCTGCTGCTTGGCCCTTCGCATTAAGCGCTGCTTGAGGGCTGGACTGAGACAGAGCACCCCTCATCTCACCACCGCCCTCCGCAGCTGCCTCCATCCCATGCTCGCCCCTTCCTCGCACCTTGCAGCTCTTTGATCGCTGGAAAGACTCCAAAGCAGCAGCTCGGCTCTTTGCTCGGACAACACGACGGCTGGACTGAGGCAGAGCACTACCTCCCTCCTCACCTGCCTCCTCTGCTGTCGCCATCCCACGCGCGCCCCTTGATCGCACCTTGCAGCTCTTTGATCGCTGGAACAACTCCAAGGCAGCTGCTCGGCTCTTTTCTCGGATTGCTGCTCGTGCTAGTGCCGTCCTTGTCACCGTCCCTTCCTCCCTCCCTCCTCCTGTGCCATCCCCTCTCCTTTTCTCCATACCCTTTCTTGTCCCTTCCTCCGTCCCTGCCCCCGTTTCTGTCCCTACTGTTGAAATTTTCTCTGCCCCTACTGTTGACTTTTTCTCTGCCCCTACCGTTGACTTTTCCTCGGTCCCTACGGTTGACTTTTTCTCTGTCCCTGCTGTTGTCCCTTCCTCTGTCGCACCATCTGTCCCCTTCTCTGCCCCTATCGCTACCGTCGCTCCCTCTTTCCCTGTCTCTATCCCTCTCTCGTTTCCCCTCCCCTTCCCTTTCCTTGTCCCTTTCCTTGTCCCTGTCCCTGTCCCTGTCCCTGTCCCTGTCCCTGTCCCTGTCTCTCTCTCTGTCTCTCTCTCTGTCTCTCTCTCTGTCCCTCGTTCTCGACCATCCCCCGTTCCCGTCCCTTTCCGTCTCCCCGTGCGGCCTCCCTTCCCTCTTCGTCCAGGCCCTGTCCCAATCCCTTCCTCGTTCCTTGTCCCGGTCATTTGCCCCCTCCCTTCCCCTCCCCAGCTGTCCAGCACTCCGCCCGGGCTAGCGCCACCCCCTCCTCCCATGGCGTGCACTGTTTTTTGAGGTGCACTGGAATTTCGAGGCGATAGTTGAGGCGCATCAAAATTTTGAGGCGAGTTTTGAGGCGCCTCAACACGAGCGCCACCCCCTCCTCCCATGTCGTGCACTGCATCTTGACACTGACTTTCAGCCATGGCTGCCGTGACATGCGGACCCATGAATCTTCGTTCCTGCGAGCCTCGAGTCGTCTCATAACGTATCGTGCTGTGCACTGCACCGTGCAGCTGACCTTCCGCCAGGTCCGCCGTGAGATACGCGGGGCGAAGTGCACGACATGTTCCGGGCGCCGTGAGATACGGGGGGGATGAGTCTCCTCGCACTTCGCCCGGGTCAATCGCATGCGCTCGTCGCATGTCATCATGCTCTGCACCTTCCGCCATGTCCGCCGTGAGATGCGGATTCTGCTTTCGAGCCGACTTAGAAGCCGGCTTGCCACTGCGCTGCACCTTCAGCCACGTCCGACATGGATCAATCAGCCCGTGAGAAGCGTTGGGTTTTGAGAATTCCCACGCCCGACATGGATCAATCCGGCCGCGAGATGCGGGTTCAGCAGTCTTCGTTCACGCGAGCCGCGTCTAGTAAAGCCGTCGGAATCAACGGGGCAGCCGAGCGGTGAATTCGGATGGTTCGGCTGCCGAATACTGACTTAAACGAGGAAGATCCGCTTCGCTCTCTGGCCGCTTCGGCAATTGGCAGGAGTCCCGAACGAATGGCAGGTGGGTTTTGAGTCGAGTAAAAAAACGATATACGGAAACCGCGCCCTTACTCGGAACCAAGTCGGGACCGAATCGGCTGAAGGAGCCAATCCTCCATTTCGGACTGCTTGAGTGAAATGATCGCACAGCAGACACGAGCCAGCGTCGAGGCATGAGGCAAAACTGGGACAAGGAATTGCCAAAATGGCATTTGAGGCAAGGATTCTTGGTCGCCTTGGAATTGGAAGCTGAGGTGTGGTGGCGAGGACAGGGAGGAAGAGAGAGGAGCCACTGGCAACTTGAAAAAATGAAGGTTGGAACTCCCGTTGCGAGGAGACATCTGAAGTCACCGTGTTCTACCGCATTGTAAGCGTCTGCAACGCGCGAAAAGGTACTGTGCCCCTGGAAAACTGCAGTTTACGAGCATTTTCGTTCAGGAAACAACTGAGCACCGGTTCGGCTCGTCCAAACCCAGCCTCGAATTTGGTCGGTTGGTGCAACGGGCTGGCGTGAAGCGAGGCAGTAATTGCGATATGAACATCCCCGCTGCAATTTGTCTATGTTTGCTGTATAGTTCTAGTTCTTTCCACGTGTACCGGTATTGGGCGGTACGCTGTGCATGTTTATGGACAGTGGTTTGAAAACAAGTTAACATAGTGAAATCGCTGAATAGCCGCTTCAAGGCTTTTGCAATCGTACTAACCGGGGAACATTGGGAGATCTGGTCCTACAACTACTACAGGAATAAATGATTCAATCACATTTTCGACATGATCATCTGCTGCAATGTGCCGGAGCTGACGAAAGTCCGTGAGGCAGTCAGCTACCCTCGATCTGATTTCAGCGCCCCTCAGCCCCAAAATCTCTAGCTGCATCATATTACTCAGGTGATTCATCCCAGAATCTCACTCCGGGAGGCATAGTGAGGTGCTTCAGGTGGGTGAGGGCCAGGCCCATAGTTATCAGGCTTTTTACGCTGATTTTGTTTTTTTTTTCAGGGTGTTCTCTTGTACCGACCCTGATGAATCAGCCTTGAAAACGAAAGAACAGGGTCAACCAGTAAGAAAACCACTACCAAAATCTGATTTTCTGGGTGTTTTTTGAGATCGACACTGATCAATCACCGTGGCCTAAAACGAATCTGAGGGCCTGGTGAGGGCAGTTGTGTGCTGCAGACCATCCTGCCTCACTCCGCTGCCCTCCAAATGAAGCCACGTCAGCCTTGTAATCCTCCCCACATGCAGCATGCAGGCAGAAGTGATAGAGGCACATCCACTAACTCCCACCGCTTCTACACCGGACACCCGCGCCAGCTGTGCCACTCCTGCATCTGTGATCCGGGTCTTGTCCAGATACAGACTCCTCAGCCTTCCCAGGCTGGCGATACCCTCTAGGGCAGCATCTGTGGTGGCGGTGTTCCGTAGGTCTAACTGTCAAACATACATATATATAGGTTATGTTTGTATAGACTGTATAGGTTCGTATCTGAGAGGGTACAACACTTAGGCTTATACCCTTGTATGTTTTTCTCTCGACATTCAATCCTACGTTACGATGGTATCACGCTTGGTAGGTAGGTCCCGCCGCCCACGCTTCCGCCCTAGGCCCTCGTCGCGCCGCCCCTAGCCTGTCGCGCCCGTCCTAGCCGGCCCCCTGAGCCGTTCGCCCCCGCAGCCGGCCCCTTGAGCCGTCGCGCCTGTTCCTAGCCGGCCCCCTGCGCCGTTCGCGCCCGTCCTAGCCGCCCCCCTGAGCCGTCACGCCCCTCCTAGCCAGCCCCCTGAGCCGTTCGCGCCCGTCCTAGCCGGCCCCCTGAGCCGTTCGTGCCCGTCCTAGCCGGCCCCCTGCGCCGTTCGCGCCCGTCCTAGCTGGCCCCCTGAGCCGTCGCGCCCGTCCTAGCCGCCCCCCTGACCCGTTCGCGCCCGTCCTAGCCGGCCCCTTGCGCCGTTCGCGCCCGTCCTAGCCGCCCACCTGAGCCGTTCGTGCCCGTCCTAGCCGGCCCCCTGAGCCGTCGCGCTCGACCTAGCCGGCCCCCTGCACCGTTCGCGCCCATCCTAGCCGGCCCCCTGAGCCGTCGCACCCGTCCTAGCCGGCCCCCTGAGCCGTTCACGCCCGTCCTAGCTGCCCCCCCCCCCCCCCCCCCTCCCCCCCGCCCCCCCTGAGCCGTTCGCGCCCGTCCTAGCCGGCCCCCTGAGCCGTCGCGCCCGACCTAGCCGGCCCCCTGAGCCGTCGCGCCTGTTCCTAGCCGGCCCTCTGCGTCGTTCGCGCCCGTCCTTGCCGGCCCCCTGAGCCGTCGTGCCCGTCCTAGTCGGCCCCCTCCGCCGTCGCGCCCATCCTAGTCGGCCCCCCCCTGAGCCGCCGCGGCCGTCCTAGCCGGCTCCCAGCGCCGTCGCGCCCGTCCCAGCCGTCGCGCCCGTCCTAGCTGTTGCGCCCGTCCCTAGCCGGCCCCTCCCCTGAGGCGTCGCGCCCGTTCCTAGCCGGCCCCTCGCGCCCTCGTCGCGCTCGCCCCGTACCGGCCCCTTGCGCCTGCCCCTTGTTGGCCTCGCGCCCTCTCCTAGCCGGCCTCTTCACGCCCGCTCCGCGCCGGCCCCGCGTTCGTTTCGCCGCCGCCCACCTCCGACTCGTTCCCGGCTCGTCCTTCCTGACCAGCACCGCCAGGCACCGCTCTATACCGCACAGCACCGCACTACACCGCGCTATACCGCTCTGCACCGCTCTGCACCGCACAATACCGCACTGCACCGCTCTGCACCGCACAGCACTGCACTGCACCGCACAGCACCGCTCTGCCTCGCACAGCACCGTACAGCACCGCACATCACCGCACTGCACCGCTCTGCACCGTACAGCACTGCGCCGCTGCTGCATCGCTCCTGATGGCGGACTCCGTGCTTCGCTTCGACGCAGAGGGACAGCCGATCGAGATTGACACGTGGCTGGTCGACCTCCGGCGTCACCTTACTAGTCAGCGGCAAGACGGCCACTCCCTGACGGTCCACCTTGACGGTACGCTCCCCTGCCCTGACCCTCCGGCTCCCCTGCCCGCTGACCCCTCGTTCGCTGACCGTGAGTCCGCTGCAGCTACTGCCCTTGCCCGCTCAGTTTGGCTATCGAGTGACGCTGTCGCGTAGATTGCGATCAGTCATGCCCTCCCCCTATCTAAGCGCCCACGCTTTAGGTCAGTCATGAATGTGCAGGAGTTTCTAGAGGCCGTCGTCAAGTGCTATTCCACCCCGCCTGCTGCCTCTGTAGGTCGCCTGATCCTGCCGATGCTCTTCCCTGACCTTGCGTCCTTCCCTACTGTCGCTGACCTAGCCGCTCACCTGCGCACGATAGACGCGACCTGGCATGCTGCGTGCACTGAGACCCAGTTTAGAGCCTTTCAGCCGCCCCTCTGCTCTGCCCTCTACCTGCTTGCCACCCGCCTCCCTGATCGTCTTGATATTGCCCGCGACCACTTCCTTAGCACCCACCCTGGTGACCTCACTCTCACTGACTTTGTCGACACCCTAACTGCCATAGGGACCCGTCAGCGGTACTGTGCCGGTCCCTATCTTTCAGGGTTGTGCCCCCGCTCAGTGCACCTTCTCCGACGGTGCTGTCGCTGTGGCTGAGTCCGCAGCTGCAGCGCAGATCCGTTCCGGGAAGGGCCGCCGCCCCAAGGCTGGGCGCGGCGGTGGGGGTGGAGGTGCAGATGGAGGTGGTGGTGGAGCCGGGTCGCCTAGTGGTAGCGCTCACGAGGAGACCCTGACAGGTGCAGCCGAGCAGCCGCCTCAGCAGCCGCAGGTGTCGCAGCCGGACACGCACTAGCCGCAGCAGCAGCCCTCGCACCAGCCTCGGCAGCTGCAGCAGCAGAGGCGGGCGAGTGGCCTCCCGCCCGGGTGGCCTGGCGCTGGTGGTGGCGGTGGACGTGGTGGTCGTGCGCGTGGTGGACTGCCGGGTGGCGGGTCGGGTGACGCGCACTGTCAGTACCAGCTCCAGACCGGTCCTCGCCGTGGTTCAGTTTGCGGTAAGATCGGTCACACCTCCGTCTGATGTTTCCGTCGCCTGGATGACCTGTTTCGTCAGCGCTTCGGCCCGTCGCCCGACCTCTCCGACTGGCATAGCTGGTTTCGCCGTAGCGTTCAGATCTTTGATATGGACATGAATGAGTTTGTTGCTTTCCTGCATGTGATGTATGCTGATGACTCTAGTGTGACTGCTTCTTACTACCCTTTGTTGCCTAGTGTAGGCATGTCTAGTCTTGCCTCCCCTGTTGCGTCAGGCGTAGGATCCCCTGCTTTGTTTAGCCTAGGTTGTACTGTCGCTGCTCTGTCTTCAGACGCAACCACTGCGCTCTCCTTCACCCTCGACTCTGGCGCTTCTCAGTGTTTCTTCCGTGACTCCACTACGCTGACGCCGCTTGCTACTCCTGCCGCAGTTTCCCTTGCCAACCCCTCCTCCGGCCCGGTAGTTGCTCGCAGTTCCACCACCCTTCCCTGTCCGGCGGTTCCCTCGGGCTCTCTTACAAGCCTGCACATCCCCTTGTTCTCCAGGAACCTAGTTGGTGTCGGCTGCCTCGAGGACCTTGGCGTCACCACTACGTTCCCTGGTCACGAGCGGTACGCTGTCTGTACCAAGGCCTCCACTGGTGCCCCCCTCACCACGTTCCCCCGGGACCCGGTGTCCGGCATGTTCACACTGGACACTGCGACCCCCCTGGTAGGGACGTCTTCTCAGGTGGCTGCGTCTACCCAGGTTGCTGCGGCCTGCTCCTGTCGGTCGCTCACTCACCCGACACTCCCGTGGTACCACCGTCTAGGTCACCCCACCCTCTAGCGCCTGCGTCACATGTCATAGCACGGTCTTGTCCTAGGTCTCCCAGGGTCATTCCCCGAGTTGCCCTCCTCCCCAGCACCACCGTGCACGCCCTGTGTCGAGGGCCGGCTCCGCCGTGCCCCTCCTCCTCTTTCCACCCTACCGCCGCACCGCTACAGACCCTGCACATGGACGTCTGGGGCCCCGCCCCCGTCCATGGGCCGCGTCGAGAGCGCTACTTCCTAGTGCTTGTCGACGACTACACGCGCTACACCACTGTGTTCCCCCTGGAGCGGAAGGCCGACGTGCCTGACATTCTCATCCCATGGCTTGTCTCTGCGCGTGTCCACCGTGGTCTCCCTATCTTGCGTCTTCACTCCGACCGTGGTGGCGAGTTAGCCTC